CTTACTTTCTTTCTCATGTGTGTGCACACACACACACACACACACACATGCACACACATTTGAGATTTGTAAAAGTAGTTAACAAATGTACATTATTTAATGAAAATTGATGTGGATAGATAAATATATACATATCGAAATGTGCAAGTGGTGTAATGGATAGTAGTACAAAGTGAGAAATTATAGAGCAGTGTTCAAATTCCATTTGGGTTCATTACTTTCACTTACACACAAATACCCTTGGGAAAACTGAAACCATCTCTTCGTTTCCCCCTCTATGGGTTAAATAGGACAAACTGTGCTCTTTAGCCTTGGTTGGTAACCAGTTTTGGAGAAGGATAACTCTGAATTTTAAACCTTTAAGAGAGTCATTTGCAGACCTTGTAGCATGCTATGTGCACCAGTTATTTATATTTAGTTCTTCCAAAAAGTGTGGTTGGTTCTGCACAAGCTTTTATGACTATAATCAAATCATGTGCAGTTAGTCTGGCTGTTAGGTTCTAAGAACTAAGCTGCTGAACCCTTGTATGTTAAAAACGATATCTAAAATTAAAAGATGCATTTTCACTAATGTCTTTTATCTGTTTCTTTTTGTTTCCTTTCTAGATTTTTAGAATATTTTTTCAGTGTCTTTCTGCTCCTTAAAAAAAAAAAAAAAAAAGGACATATATAAAGTATATAAACACTGTAACCAGTTTACTTGGATTTCCAATAATACCAACAAATAAGAAAACATTCAAAAATACAATTAACATGCTAAAAAATGTGACCTTATTTTATTTTATTTTTTATTTTTTTTATACTTTTCATATCCAGCCTGTACATAAATATTAACATAAACATCAGATTTATGTGAAAAGTTTTGAGATGAAGAGTAGTAGTTATTCTATATATTTTCATTCAAACCCGTATGCTCACAACATTTTAACCTCTGGCCTTCTTCACATGTTGATTGTCATACTCAATAACCTTGGAATTTTGAACCAAATTCTTTATTCCTGTCCTGCTTTCCAAGCTTAGGGTATATCTCCTATCAATTAATTGTCACCAGTTTTATTCACTTTTGTAACACTTATCCATTTCTTCCACTGAGAAAGCATATGTGACTTTTCAGCATTACCCTACCCAGGGTCTGATTTACCAGGGAACCACATATTTAAGCTAATATTTTAATCTGAGCACCTCTTAAATGATCTAGGGATGAAATTTGGTGCCCTTCGCTCAGCTGGTAGAATTTATAGAAAATAATAGAGAACAATATTGGAAGATAAGACAACTGAATGCTCACATTAACCTCCTTGGTAGATCTTGCATAGAGATGAACACCATAAAATTCAATAACCTGAGTAAGGATGTTTATAAAATCTACTGAAGAAGGCCAGCTGAAATGTGAGTATAACAACCAAGATGTGTATATCTGTCTGTATGGAAATGTATACAATGATAAGATTAGTTTATCTACTTGTTTTTACTTCAGCTCTATTTTGTACATTTCCTTTTGACTGCGGCCATGTTGTATTTTCTTGATAATTAGATATGCTGCCATTTTAAGGCAGATTTTTATTCATTGGGATCAGTAAGCAATTTACTTGAATATAACTAGCTTGATGGGCAAGAACGATTTCATTTCAAAATTTAGAAAGCATGTCTAGATCAATGTTTTTATTCTACCCTTCAAAATTAGACAGAAGCATCTTAAATCATTTTACCTACAAACAACTTGGAGGTATAAATTTAGCAAAAGAACTTAATTTGTATAATGATAAATGAAATGTAAATGATTAAACCAATGATATTAATCTAACTTGTTACAATAAGGCAAGGAAGAAACAATATATGTTTTTAAAACATTATCTTCACAAATATTTAATAGTTATAAGTTTCTCGTCCAACACAAAGAAAAAAAAAAAAGTTGAAAGCAGATATGTCTAACTTTAGGCATATTTTAATTGGAAAAAAAATAATTATTGGGTATATTATATACCATAATGATCTTTTTTAATCATTGTATCTCATTAAAAAGTTAAAAAAAATAATCTTCCTATACCAGTTACAGATGAGTGTTTGCCATGTGATAAATGTTTCGGTATTTAGATTGATGTATAATAATTATTAGTTCCGAGTTGTTGTATCAAAAGATTATTGTAATATTGATCAATCTGACAGTTTGTAAAAGCTGAAAAAATAAAGAATAAAAGCAATATGTTTAACTATGGTAACAGCTGAACAGGTTTGAAAGACAACTCTGTCAATATTATAAATGTACTGGGAACACAAACTACAGAATGGCACATTGTTTGATCATTTTCTGTTAAAAATAAGTTTACATATACAACAGATTATTTTTAATATTTTTTGGATATTTTTGCTTTTTCATCCCTTCAAAAGTGTTATATTTTGTTGCATGTATGGGAAAGATTTCTTAGAAAATAACAACTTATATTTTATTATCAATCAGCATCATCCACAAGAGTAATGACAGGATTATGTAGTAATTAGTACTTTTTACCAAGGGTCAGATTGCAGCATCTCTGCATTCTGCCAAGGATCAGAATTGAGTATCTATGCATTTTGTGAATTATTACATGTCTATACATACACAATTAATATGTGCATTTAGTGTAGTGGTTATTAGCAGGAAAAGTGAAGTAGGCATGCCAAGTTCAAATTCTGATTGAGGTTATGTTCATTTTTGCACAAATCTCTTTGGGAAAGGTGTGAATCCATTTCTTCTTCCTCCTCGCTATAAGAAATAGCAGGGCAGACTGAGCTCTCTAGCCTTGGATAGCAACCAATCTAGAATGAAAACTCTGAATTCAAACCTGAGGAGAGCCGTTTGGAGACTTCACGGTACACTGTGTACTATTTGTTTTCAGTTCTTCTGAAAGATGTAGTTGGTTCCATACAAGCCTTTACCATTATAATCAAGTCATATGTGCGAGTAGTCTGACAGTCCACTTATAAAAAAAAAAAAAAAAATAACCCAAATACTCAACTGTCACCCATGTTGAAATTGAAAGATAAATTCGCAAAGAAGTATGACAAAGTGGAAAAATTTGGTTCTAGGACATTTACATACCTCTGATAATTTTTTTTAAAGGCAATTACCATAAATTTTGAAATAAAATAAATTTTAAAGCATAGGTAATAATTATAAAAAAGGAATAAAATAAAAAAGAAGTTTATTTTTGTTTAAAATGCAATAACAAATTGTGTTGCAAGATCACTCTACACATCACCAGTATGTTTTTGTTTCATTGGCATTTTTCTTATGATAGTGGTAGCTGTAATTTTCCTCATTCACAAATATTTTTCCACTAGTGTTTGATTTTTGGAACTTAGCCATGGGTTCCAAATAAAAGATATATTTACAGGATCTATTAGATGTTTGTGTTACAGGAGTAAACTGAAACTGCTAGCTAAATTTTCTCTTGCTTTAAAAAAGAAATTTTTCTTTTTTTTATTTATGGTAACCAACTTTTTCCTTGTTTGACATAATTAAAGGTATTGGCGTGCAAGTTTCTATATTGACTCTTTAAAAAAAAAAAAAAAATGGTAACTAAAAATTATCAGGGGTACACAATTATCCAAGGATGGATTTGTCTAGGGACATAAATGTCCAGAACGCAACTGTCTGTTCACAGAAAAGTTTTTGTATGATGCATTTTGTTCTTTAGGACTTCATCAAAAACTTTTTCCACTTTTTCATACTTCTTTCCCCTAAAATTATTCTTAATATATCAAAAAATTTTTTATTAAAGTTTCTTTTGAGAAGCTTTAATAAAAGTGAAACATTTGATTGATTAAATGTTTTCTATTTGTTGTTTATCTTATTCTGTTGGATTACAATCTGTATTTGATCCTCACACACACACACGCACACACAATTAAACATGTGTGTGTGTGTGTAAATATATATATATATATATATATTATATATATATATATATATATATATATATATATATATATATATATATATATATATATATATATATATAATATATATATATATATATATATATATTATATATATATATATATATATATATTTATATATATATATATATATATATATATATATATATATATATATATATATATATATATATATATATATATATATATATATATATATATATATATATATATATATATATATATATATATATATATATATATATATAGAGAGAGATTTTTCAGAATTTCAGTCATTACTAAAAGTCATAATTTTTTTTAAAGTTTAAAATTTAATAGACAGGATGCTGTCATTTTTTTCCTCACTAAAGAGAGCAAAGACAACAATTGACTCTATGCTGTTGTTAATTTTTTGACTGGTATTTCTTTCATTTTAATTATAATTGCTTTTCATTACAACGACTCAGGCCTGCAGTCTGTGACTATCAGTAAACAAGTAGTAATATTATCTTGAATTTTATTAGCTGAAGCCCTGTCGACCATTACTAATTTTTCATTAGTATTTCTTTCATTTTATTTCATGTTGCTTTTCATTGCAACTGCTCATTCTACTACAATTAGTAAACAGTGTAGATCACAAATAAAGAATAAGTTTTCAGCTAGGCTTGAATTTTCATTTTTTTTTTTTTTTTTTTTTTTTAAAAAAAAACTGAGAGCTGTTTTTTTTTATTTGTCAACTCAACCTTTTATGGATGGTCATAAACTGACAATAATGAGGAGTTGCAATGATAAGTAACTGAAATAAAGATTAAAGAAATACCATTTAAAAATTAATGGTTGTCAATTCTTCATCTAATAAAAATTCAAGTTAATAATACTATCTTGTTATTGTTCAACTGCTTTTTCCTTGTCTCTTTTTTTTTTTTATTCTGTTAATGATATCATCTTTCACTCTCTTTTTTTTAGCATGATCTTTGTGATAGGCTAGAGGACAATGCTATTGTGGTCTCTTTGAATGACATTCTCTAATTTTATTTATATCAATGACTTTTTCTTCTTTTTTTTTTTTTTTTTTTTCCAAGTTATGAATGGTACTGAGGATTCAAATTCTTCATTTGTCTCTCAAGGAGGAGGAGAAGATAAAATTTTAACATCTTCACAAAGACATTCTTCCAAAAAGTCTGTTCACTTTGCTTTGGAGAACGTTCCTTGTGCATCTTTTGACAGCAGTCAAGAGCCTGTTATTTACAAGCGTGGACAGAGGAGATCTTTTCCAACTCTCATAAGGCAGCAACAATTAAACACAAGCTTAGAAAGTTGTTCTTCTATCTGCACAGTAAGTAATACTTTTATTTGTCAGTAATGTTTTTTGGTCAGTGTTCTCAATATTGTATAAGTATATTTCATTCATATTTTTCTCTCTTTACTCATGGTATAAATGATAAGGTTTTATTGATAACCCATGTAACATATGGGATCTTTCTTTCTAAATAATAAAAAGATATTTATCCTAATGATAGAGATTTGTAAATTCATATTCTCGTCATAGTTCTGTCACTTTTATGCTAATAATCTCTTGAATGTTTTAAACCTGATCATTCTGTCAAGCTGTTTTATCAAAATACATTTTAACTGTGACCCTATCACAGGTAATATTGTTAAGTGTGCTTTGTAGAAAGAATGGGAACACAGAAAGCCTTATGTACATTATAAACATGTAAATACAAACTATTAATGGGTAAGAGTGTCTCTGGGGAAGTATCAGAAATATTATGTAACCTGTACGTAATTACGTAAGTAAATATTCATTTTTATGTGTTTTATATGCAAGTAACAGTTGAGTACAAATAAAAATTATAGGAAAATCTGCTAAGTTTAATGTTTTATATATATATATATATAGTAAAGGTAAAATAAAATCCGTGGGTATATAATCCAAATGGGTTCTAGTAAGATAAGAATTTTAAAATTGATCCACAGAAGAGAGCTTGATACATTATTTACATTATTCGGACTATTATCCTCATCTTTGTCACCATATTTATTACAACGTTTCGGCCGTTGTACGCTCCAGCCTTCTTCAAGTGTTTGGAATGACACATGGCACAGTGGATAAAGGTGTTGGTTAGATCCAGTGACAGGACCCAAAGAGTGTGAGTTCAATACCCGGTTAAGGCAGTGGAGAACTTTCAGAGGGAAATTAACAGGAGATAACTGATAACTGACATCCATTAACATGGTACGTGGAACTAGAGCAGTCTACCCCAGTGAGTGAAATAAAGGGTTAAGTTCAACATTCCAACCACCTGAAGAAGGCCGGAGCATACAATAGCCGAAACGTTGTAATAAATATGGCGACAAAGATGAAGACAATAGTTCGAATAATGTAAATAATGTACATAATACAATCATCTCAGAAATATAAACAAACAGGGAGCTTGATGTATTTTATTTATACAGAGCAATAGATAAACAATCAAGAAATCTTTTTACCCATGTAGAGAATAGACTATTTTGGTAAATGATAAAAGTGATTGTCTTCTCAACCCAAATATATATATATATATATATATATATATATATATATATATATATAGATTATTACAAATATAAAATTTGTCATTTAGCTGGTTGATGTTATATTCAGCACCACAACTCCACAGTTTTGAAGATGAACCTTTCTGTAATGATTCAGTCCACTTGTCAGGAGGTTTCAGTATAAAAGTGGACACTGAAGGTAACAACCTGTTTCATGCTTCAACACAATCTTCAGGCCATTGTTAAAGCATTAAACAAACTGTTGGCACTTGGTGTTGACTCCAGTGTCAACTTTTATAAACATAAAACTGTAAAACTATGTTTTTATCATATTACATACATACACACACACACATACATAGTGCATTCACATACACACTGCACAGTACAAAAAAGTCAACAGGAAAAGAAACAATATATGGTTTAACTCACTGTACAACAAAAATGTAAAAACAAACGTAGGAAAAATATTCATTAAAATAATCCACAAACATTACCCCCTTTGTCAAGCACTTTCCACAAGATATTCAACAGAAACAGTAATAAATCAGCTACAGTTGTACTGAGAACATGATACAAATAAAAAAGCACAACACAAAAATAAACAATAAAAGACCTGCACAAACCAAACCCATCTAACTGCAGAGCAAAGCATGGATGTCCCTTAAATGGTAATTTGCAGTCAAAACAATATACCAAGACACTGTAAAAACAACAAAGAAAAAAATATACATAGGAGTAACTGAAGGATCCTACTGGAAACAGAAACTACATATACAAAATATCCTTTACCAATGGTAAATATGTGAATATCACAACCCTTTCTAAACATATATGGGAAATTAAAAAAAAAACAAAATACACCAAAAATATCATGGAAAATAAGGAAAACAGCATCACTCTACAACAATGAATCACAAAACTGCAAACTTTGTGTGAAGGAGAAAATAGCTATAATTGCCTTCCAAGACCAGTACAAATTACTAAATGAAAGATCAGAACTTACTAATGTTAATAGTTATCTACTGTCTTCCTGATTACTCTTCCATTGTTCTTGCTACTTAATAATGTTTCTATTTTCTAATTCTTTCACCCCCAAGTAACCCCTTGTGTTTTAGTGGCTAAAAAAATCTCAAAATACAGATATGAACAAAAATTTTTACTATGTTACTTAAAAGTTGAAAACTAAAAATGAATACCTTTTTTAAAAATTAAGAAAAATGCAAATATAAAACAAATAAATAAAATAAACAAATTAAGAAAATAAAATCAGCAAACTACGAATGCCTGCATAACCACAACTAAGTAAATTTAATAACAATCAACAATAAATAATGAATAAATACAAAATACTATAAGTAATCAATAACAATAAGCTAAAAGTTAGCAAACAACCCTATACAATAGCTACAAATAATTGCATTCTGACCCATGATTATTTCTACTCATTAGCCTTTAGAGTAATTTGAAATATAACAGTTGCCACCTACACAGTAACTGTTAGGATAATACAATGAACTGGAAATACCTGACATTGCTACCCATAATGCCCCATTGACCAGCATATATAAATAGCTGAGCCACCATACAACACATGGCCTGAAGCATGTCGCTGCTCAGTATGGACTTCAAAGTTCACTTAGGCTCTATCCCTGATATATTGAGCACTTACACCCATAAATATAGCATAACTTAAAACTATATTTTTATCATATATATATAGGGTGTGGCAGAAATACCTCTCGCATAATGGTAAGACATTAGTGGCAATGGTGTCTTTATCTAGGCAATGTCTAACCATTATGTTAATATATGTCTGTCTGTGTGCATGTACAGGTTGTGATTGATAAATTTTTGTCTAAATTACACAAAAATGAAAATAACACTGACATCTCATTTTAACAGATATATTTAGCAAAATTACACAAAAATATCTTGAAATAGTAAAGTAAATTTATTCAATAAAATTACCATTAGCTTCAACCACGGCCTCCAGACAACTTTGGAATCTTTGGTAACTCTTTTGGACAGTCTCCTTGTTTAAGTTGGTGAATGCTGCCATAATCCTTCCCTTCAGTTCATCTTTGGTGTTACAAGGGGTTTTGTTGGTTTCTTGCTCAACTGCACCACACATAATAATCAAGGGGGTTCCAGGCTGGGGAGTTAGGTAGCCAGATGTAAGGGGTGATGTGGTCACAGAAATTATCTGAGAGCCATGATTGGGTTCTCCTGCTTGTGTGGTATGGTGCAGAGTCCTGTTGCCAGACCTAGAGTCTTTCAGCAGCCACCCTGTTGACCAAGGGTAACACTACCTCCTCAAGGCATTTGATGTAGGTCTCCGTGTTGAGTCTGTGGCCCTGTGGGAAGATGAATGGAGACATAACATTGCCATCACTAGTGATCACTCTAAACATCTTCATAATCACCATTAGACTTATCCAACTCTTTCTGAATCCTCTGCACTGTCCTTAGATTTGACACCCAAACACTCTGGAATGTACATATTGGAGCTTCTGGCATGAATGTTAAGCAGCATAGCTTGACATTTCCAAATTTCTTGCAGAGTGAATTGCATCATGGTGCTCTTTTTCTTACAGACAGTGCCCAACTTGACCCTATTATACTGTACAGTTAACAAAAACAATGCACATGGGAAAAATTAAAAATATAAAATGGCGATAATTTACCCATTGCATCTTGTGTATATATATATATTCAAACAACAAGAAAAACAAAAAAATGGGCATGTGACAACATATAAACAAATATTTCCTTTGCTATTTGAGCATTAATTAAAAAAATAATTATTTAAACAAGAAATAAATAAAACAGAATACACCTATATTTTGAAAAAAAACTTTAGTAAATCCCAGAATATTCTGGAATATTAACCTAATTTTAAGTTTCCACAAAGTTAATCTGCTCAAACATGTATATCCTTTAAATATAGATTATGTATATCATTGCTTTAGACCACTTAGCTATAAAAAGCTTTTATGGCCTAGCAAGCAGTCTCTAGCATACTAGATCAGATGGTGGTTTCCTCTATAATGGTGAAACCCTACCAGAAGACATATTTTCTTTGTTAAGCCTCTTGAATATGCAGGCTGTCAGATGTGAAAATTATCCACACTCTTATATGAAGATATGTTATAGTGAAAGTGTGGATAATTATTATTTACCCTTGTATTATTCCTCAATGTGTGTGCATGTGCTTCTGAAGAAATCACCTCACCACCAAAATTTTTAAAAAAGTTCAGAAAAATTAAAAAGAAAAGAGATATACAAATATTAATGTTGTAAGCACAGTTTCAAACTTGACATTTGTAAATAACAGCTAGGTCCAATAATTCTGTAAAATGTAAGAGATGATGTATCAATATTATGAACAGGACCCCTTTCTAAATCGATAAAAAAATCAATATTTCTTAGTTCTGATAAATGTCATGGTTTGAGTAAAATCTAAGGAATGTTGATCTACAAAAATTATCTTCCAAAAAAAAAATTTTCCTTTTTTTTTTTTTTTTTTTTTTTTTAGTGGACAACTCTATTTAAGTAGTGCTAAAGGATCCTGTGAAAATGAAATATGAATTCTTTAATTCCATCATCATGGCTTGGCATCACAAAACAAAGATCAAGAGGGAGTCTGTTCACGTCACTTGCAGGTGTGTCTGTGACTGATAAGTCCAATGCAGGACTGGCAAATACAGTCACAGTAGTTGCAGCTGAAAGTCCAGCTTGGGCTCGATGGCATAGCATTGCAGTACTTCCTCCTCTGCCTCTTGTTCCTGAATTCTTTAATTACCATCATTTAATATGCTTAAACTCTATCTTGTTCTTAGTTTGCCAGATTGGTTTACTTTTAAAATAAATTAGGCTGTGTTTGGGCTACGACTGAGAAAAAATGTCAATTCAAAATGTAGTGGCACAAATTTCTCAAATTTGGCAACCCTGTCTTCAGATAATTTCTGTTAATTTTTAATGTTTGTGTAACTGAAAGATCATATGGCAGAATAATTTATTTACCATAATGTTTTGAAATTTATTTTTCTAAGCTGTTTCAATCTGTGTTATTTTGGGTAATATTGTTTGTTTCTTTTTCAGAGTGTTGAAGATGATCCTAATACTGCATCTGTAAATGGCTGTACCCCTAAGCCTCTAAAAGAATACAATCTTTTACCTGCGATTGTTGGTTATCCAAGGGCAGGTGACAAAATTGCATTCAAGGTTAATATATTCCTCATAATGAAATTTGGGTAAAAACTACTTTCATCTATGGAGGTTTGTGAAATAGTTGATAATGAAAAAAACATTTAATTTAAAGAACAAATATTTACTTTTCAACATAATCTCCTTGTCAATGCACTTAATTTAGTAGTGAATATTAATCACATAGATTAAATATGTATACATTGAAAATTTCAGATCAAAATTCAGCTTTGTGTCAAACTGCAAAGATATTGATTGTATGTGTCCCAAAATAATTATGATTTTTATCAAATTTTTGAGCATATCAATTAAAAGTAAAATACTTATGGGAAAAGTGTCCTTTAAACAAATGTGTACAGCATTTTTTAGCAGTTGACCAATTTTCCTGGATTTTATTTATACTTGCACATTTCCATGTGTACTTACCTGTTGTTCAAATTTAATACTTAAACCTTTCCAAGGTGAATGTTTTCCTGAAAAAGATAACCACATTACAGGATTGGCTGAAATTGCTCTATGGACCACAAAAATATTACCATGGACCCTCAATTTGCTATTTTTTTTGTGGACCCCCAGCTTTATACTGCTTCTTTTTTATTTTTTAAATATGAATATTAAATTACATGCATTTACTACTACTTAAATTACTTTTCCATGTAGTTGTCAGCAAGATTAGTGCCCTTGTCCCATTATGTGCAAGTGTATAAATACCCTTCTTAAAAAAACTTCACTGTGTCATGCTAGACAATTTTTCACTCTTGAATCTGTCTTACATATCTTAAGTCTACCATTCATTCATGCCTCAAATATTGCTGCCACATATGGTCCAGTGCTCCTGCTATATATTTAGAGATTCTTGATAAAATCCAAAGAATCAGCAATATTATTGGTCCTGAGCTGGCATCTCAGCACTTTCCCACTGTTGTAAAGTTGCTTCTCTGTGACTTTTTTTTTTCTTATAAATACGTTCATGATAATTTTTCGTGTGAGTTCTTAGCTATGGTACCTAGACTTTATGAATTTAAGTGCAGTACTAGATTAACAATGTCTCATCAGTTTACAGTTGAATTGACTAGATGTAACTGTAAGTTCTATACTAACAGTTTCTTTTCTCACACTTCTCACTTGTGAAACTCTCTTCCAGCTTTTTGCTTTCCAGTCATCTTTGATCTTCAAAAATTTAAATGCAATGTCAATTGCTATCTACTGTCTTCCTGATTACTCTTCTGTTGTTCTCACTCCTCAATAATGTGTCTGTTTTCTAATTCTTTCACATTCATTAGCCCTTGTCTCTTTGTATCTTAATGGCTTTACTGCTTTGCTTGCAGTGATTTTGATTGAAAAAGAAAAAATCAAGCAACTTAAGCTACCCTTGCACCTCTTAAGAGCATCATTTATGAGGGACCATTAATTGGATAAATGTAGTTTGAGGAGTCCAAACAGATGATAGTCTTGTATTGGCATATTCAGATGATGTTCTGGTTGCAGTAAAACATTCCAATCATATCACTCAAACCACTTTCTGGGATGACATGGCCAGGTTGCAGAATAACACCCTTAAATAAATGCCTTAGTCTTTCTTGATAAAGAGCTTTCCTCAGTCTGTTGAATATTTCACCGTATCTAACTGCTATGAGCAGCATACCTTTTGTATCTCAAATTGCAATGTTAATCATAATTTTCTGTCTTCTTAATAGTGTTTTTTTTTCTCTCACACTCAGTAACCTATTGTGCTAGAGTGGCTTTATTGCCTTGCTTGAGGTGAAATGATTTACAAAAAAACACAATTGCCATAAATTTATTGGCTCATTGCTATTAAAATATATAAATTTGATAGAAAACAAAATACATATGCAATTGAGGAAATTTCATAACAAAGTCTGGCTTATATCCACTTATTTTCTGTATTGACATTGACATATGCTCGTTACAATAAAAGTCTTTACATATAAGCAGGAAAACAGGCTTTCTGCTCAATTACAAATATATTTTAGAAAGGTTTCATACTTCTATGAAGTAGACATATACAAGGGAGGCTACTTACTATACTAGTCAGATCTCCAGTCTATCAGATTAATTGCATTTAGTTTCTTGGTGTCTCATGGTGATAGTTTGGGTTTTTTAATAAAGCGTTTTATTATTATTACTATTATTATTTTTTATTTCTTCAGTATTGCTTCTTTCTCCACTGGTAATTTGTTGCTACTCTATTATTTTACTCTTATATCAACTTATAAATTTGTATAACATCTACAATTAGCAGAAGGTGTTGATTTAGTAAAAATGACATTAAATTATATGGAGGCACAGTGGAATAAAGGATAGCAGTTCAGATTGAAGAACTGGAGAGCTGAGTTTTAATTTCATTCAAGTTCATTACATTCATTTATGTGCAAATACCTTTGGGAAAGGTATGAATCCATCTCTTCTCCTCCCAGTTAAATAGGAGGACAGACTGGGTCCTATAGTCTTGAGTTGTAACTGATCTAGAAGGAGGACAGTTCTGAATTTAAAATCTAGTGATTAAATAACCTCATTAACCTGCAATTGGCTAAGAGTATGGCTACAACATTGAAGACAGGGTCAATCAGGGAGTGATTCCGCCAAGGAGTGAGAAGGCTCTGGATCAATTCTAATTAGTTTTCATCATTGGTACATTAAATTGTAACAAAAATGGTCTCTTCTTTCCCATAGACAATGTTTTAAGTTACAAGGGCTTTTATGAAAAAATTATTTCATAAATCTGAACTCATTTTTTTCATGAGTAAAATGATTTTTAAATTTTCTTGTATTTTTCAGAGATTGGAAATTGGAGATGACTACACACCAAGATTATCTAATTTTATTGTAAGTATTGCTAAACATCATCATAATTTTTACCACATTTCAAAACTGGTCGGATTATTGAAAAATAAATATTTCTGAACTTTGAATAAATGTTCAATTTCTACTAATTGTATAAATTCTTTGCATTTCTCATGAAATATTAATAAATGTTAGTTGTTGACATCAGTGTCCACTTTTATGCTTTATATTAACATACATTCTATCTCAGATATTGAGAACTTTTACCGATAAATATAATATTCATTAAGATTATATTTTACCATTTCTCGTGTGTGTGTGTGTGAATTACGATTAATGAGATCCAAACGAATTACCTCATACAGATGATCATTTCGTCCATGGGAAAGTAGTTTTTCCCTGGACTTATCAATGCAAATACATTTTACATTTTGTTTTTTTTTATTTATTTGATAAGTCCAGGAAAAAAAACTACTTTCCCATGGATGAAATGATCATCTCTATGAGGTAATTCGTTTGGATCTCATTAATTGTAATTCACTTATATGCTCTATAATAAAAATTATATTGAGCTCTCTTTTGTGGATCAGTTTTCCTATTTTATATTAATAGGATCTACTTGGATTACTTACCTATGGATTTTTTTACCTGTTCTATCTATCTATCTATCTCTCTATATATATATATATGATCCCATCAATAAAAAACATTTAGTTTGAAGAAGTCCTTTTGAAAGACAAAATATATCGCAGTTTCTTTTCCATTTTATCATTCAATTACCCACATTTTATTATCTCCAAGAGAATTAATGGCCAAGAAATAGTGTTTGGATTTTAAAGTTTAATGATTCCTAAATGTTACAACAGAAATAAATTTATCTTATTTAAGTCATACTTTAAAATGTTACTTTCATAAACATTGCAATTTTATAAAATAATTGTGTTTAAATATTTAATGGCTATAATAAAAATGAGATAAAATGGCCTTTTAGTAATTGCTAATATTTTCCTTTTGATTTTGCAGGAAGCTAAAGTTATATCCTTCCAAGAAGACTCAAAGCAACTAACGATGAAAGTTACATCTCCAAAAAATAGTAAGTTACATGCTTTCATTTTGTTTCAGTTTTTGATATTCCAAAGTAGTTTAATAATAGGTCAAATATTAACTCTACTGTCATACATTACTACACACAGATCCATTATTAATTCTGTTGGAGTGTAAAAATATTGTCTTTATCATTCATTAAAAAACAGAAAATTTTGTTAGAAATAAAGAAAAAAAATACTGAACTGTTATGTAATATCAGTCTTCCTGTATGGCAGTGAATGCTGGACAATCTCCTTGAGGCAACAGAAACGTAGTTCTACAGGAGGATGCTGAGGATACCATGTGAGCAACAACAAAGTTTTAGAGAAAATAGGAACAAAAAGGACATTTATACTTAACACCAGGAACAGACAGTTGAAATTTCTAGGGCACATAATGAGGAAAGAGGGCTTTGAAAATCTGATACTCACAGGACAGATTGAAGGCAAGTGAGCTTGAGAAATGGATGGCAGAACAGGGTTTAGGAGAATAACAGAAGGACAAAATTTATTAAGCACTACAAAGGACAGGAAATTTTGGAGAGCCATGATTGCCTATATCCTGAAGGGACATGTCACATAGAAGAAGATTAGTAAATAAGGTACAGTACATGAATTTTGACATGGTAGGGTGGAATATAAGAGTCATAGGCTGTATTTAGCTATTACCAACATTTTCTTTTTTTCACTCACTAAAGATTTATAAGATTAGGGTTATGTAAAATGTTGAAAATTCCTTTTAACTCAAAACTAATTTAAAGTAACAGTAAGATATACACATGATCTGTCCGGAAAGTATCCAACGATTTTGAATCTCAACAAAAACTTTCACAGCTTTGATATGACTAGTCAGAGGGAACTTTACTGTGTATGTACAAACATATACTCTCCCATTAGGTTACTAATGTTATCATAATCACAGTTACATTCACAGCAGTACAAATCAAATTTTGATGAAGACTTAAGTATTCGTTTGTAGGCACTAAGGAATTAAGGTGTTGGGGAATGATTTAATGAGGAAAGCCCAGATAACGTCTTTTTACCAATACTACAAATTGGTTGGGAATCTGTTGAAAGCCATTCATGTTCTGGAAGGCCTCCATTGAGCAGAACACCCCAAAATATCAAATGATTGTTGGCTGCAACCACAAGAAATTAGCAATTGATAGTATAAGTATTAAAGCTGTTTGTTCCACAGACTGTCCATAAAACATCCAAGTATTTTGATTATTTTCATTTTGGGGTGTTGTCAGAACATTACCTCACCCAGATCTATCAGTATCCTCTTCCCCCAGTCCAGATTTGGATCCTGCAGCTTTTTTCCAAACCTGAAAGTGCTCATGAAAAATTGAAGTTTTCCAGCTGTGGAAGAGATTAGGGAGAATGTGATTAGGCAGCTGATGGCATTTTCTAAAGTGGACATTGCAGACTGTTTTGAAAAATGGAAGGAATGTTGAATAAGTGTGTGAGATCCCAAGCAGTGTATTTGAATGGAACTAAGGCATCATTCTCCCTTTTTTTTTTTTTTTTTTTTGGTGGTGGAGTTCTTGTTAATATTAAATGGCAGAATCATTTCTGGACAGACATGTGATGTTTCAGTTTGCATACTATACAAGTGAATATATGAATAATGTCTTATTTTTCAGTTAATGTTTAATATCTGGATATATATTAAACTGTACATATGTTAATAGCAGACAACATTTTAACAAATTTTATTTTCTTGTGAATATAGATCGCAGAAAAGAAGGAAAGTTTGAATTATTTTATGAAAATGACGATGATATAATTCTTGACCAACCAGATGATGTTATAGTAAGTACAAAATTTATTAATATTTAACATATTTTTGATTTTTCTAATTACAATTATTGGTTTTGAAATGATTCAATAAATATAATTGACTAAAAAAAAATTTTAAATAAAAAATAAATTTCAGCATCTTTACTCTAGAATGGTAATTTCGACACTGAGGTGTACAATTCTGGTGTTAATGCTACAAATATTATATATAATGTCCCTACAGTCTTCCCTTTGTAAGCAGGAGGAGTAGAGTAGCATTTTGGTCTTAATGTGATCTGCATTTGATAGATATTGGCGGCGGCGGCTTTATCTCAAATCTAAGAATTTAAATTCTTCTTTGGCAATCACTTCCTTTATGATGATGGCATTAATGACTAAATTCACTGCCAATGTTCAGGTTCAAGACTAGAAGCTTCCGGTTGCACTAAAACCTGCTCTCCTCATCTATTCCTTATTGCCATTTGGCTTTGCAAGAGTTGGTTACATACAGTGAAAAATACATACGTGTGTTTATGCATGTATATTTCTATTTGTATACCTCTGATGATTGCTCTTTTTTCATGATATATATATATATATATTGTTTTACTTTACCTGCTTTATGGTATATATATTTTTTATCTTTTTCTGGCATTTTGTACATTTATTCATGGAGAATTACTCCACTATCTAGAAGATTCAAATCCAGGCTGGAATAAGGCCAAAAGTCTGCAAGCTAGCAACCAGCAAAATTATCTTAGCAGAACTTCTACATTTTCTTAGTTGCAACTGAGATTACTCTCCTATGTTCATACATATTAGCCCTCTGGATAGTTGAACTTGAGTCTTCTTATCTCAGAACTGTGAAATAGACTTGAGCACCCACTTTTAGAATAGGGGCATCTTTTTCCCTAAAACTATGATGTTATTGTTCTATATACTTATGTATTGCCCAGCACAAGAATTGAAATCACAATCACCACCTAATAAAAACTAATCCTTTGTTGTTGTTGGATTAGTCTGTCTCACCTGTTTTTTGTAATGGGTTCAGCCATAGAGCTCAATATAAAACCATGGGATTTCTTCCAGAAAGTGTATATTCATTTGCCTGTTGAATCCCTGACAGTCCAGTTCAATACATGACCTGGGTTGGAAGTTTGGTCTTGATGGTGCCTTTGACATCAGCTGCTGACTCTGTGTTTAAAAAAAATGTCTTGCATGAAAATTTTCTCATCAGGGAATATTTTAACAGTAGAACTATGATTCTTGGGGTACTTGAAAACTTTCTTGCAACTTTCCAGCCTGCTGGTGTAGGATTTACGGGCCAGGTTGTTCCTGAGATCCACTTGGCTATCTTATGCTTGGATGTTGGATCTTTTGTAATTTCGATCTTGAGGATATTATTGATTGTTCTTCTTGTTGACCTTGCTGCTGCTCAGCTTCCTCTGGATGTAGTCTTTTTGACATTGTAGACAGTGTACAAGGATGCACCAACTATTTTAGGGAGGCTTTAATGGTAAGTTTGTACAAAAATCAAGTCTGATACCATTTTCCATGATATTTGAGAGGTATAGGTGTAATACTAATGCTGACAATGTACTTTTTATGTTGCATTTGGTTTCACATCATTTTGTGTAGCAGTTGGTGAGAAATCTTTAGTTTAAATTTTACTCTCCCCCCCCCCCTGTTTGCCATCCACACAAACACACACACATAGTGTAGACATAGAAATCAACTGCATAGTGGCTATCAGTTTCACACGTCAAGCTATCTTCATACTATGTCATGATTGCTTGAGGCATAAAATTGACAGTCACCATGAAGTGATTTCTGTGTCTGCAGCCTATAACTACAAATGCTCTATCTTTGATATTACACACCCTTCCTGCATAAATATAGCAAATTTTAAATAAAATATCTTCCTTCTGTTTCATACTTCAACACAATCTTCATGGCCTGAACATTACGTTGATGTATGAAGCAGATTGTTGTCACTTGGTGTTGACCTGTGTCCACTTTTATATTTATATACACTCTATCTCTGTTATTGAACACTTTTGCCCATAAATAAAGTATACCATAGAAGTATATTTTTACCAAACATATATATATGTTTGATGTGTGTGTGTGTATATATATATATATATATATATATATATATATATAATGAGAGTGTAAATTTTAAATAATATATACTTTGTTGGATGTGTGCCTTTGAATAGTGTGTTATAGACCAATTGCAGTTAATGAAAAGGTAAATTTAAGCTTTAACAAGAACAAACCTGGTACATTAGGCACAAATTGTCACCTTTGTGTGTGATGAAATCCTGCATTAAATTAGTTATGACACTTTATAGCGGAACAAAAGTTTTGAGATAACATAAAAATTTAACTTTCTTCTTTAAGCATAAAAATTAAAGATTTTTTATTTGTTGTTTTTTTTTGTTTTGTTTTTTTATACATTCAAGTAAAGAAAATACTTCAGTTGTTTCTTTGTAATTTCTTTTGTTTAAAAAATATTAATAAATAAGTAACGGCAATAAACTGTTTGTTTATAGGCTAAAGTGCTTTTACATAAAAAAAAAATATATTGTCAAAAATATACCTCAAATTATATTGGAATAGACTTTGCACTCAGTGTCCATCATAGAAGACAGGTGCATCAGTAGGGTGACCTGAGAGTTGACCTCATAGACCTGTGACTTCACTAGATGTCAGTGGCTACCCTTGACATGTTCTACTCAGCTGCACCTGATGGGATGACATATAAGCACCCACCCAATAGAGAAGAAGAGGAGAGACTCTTACATTCTCTTGAGAATTTAGAATCTACATTCAGAGAAAAACCCCAAAGCCATACATCCACTCACCAACAGTTATTGATAGTGATTTTCCAAGCGTAGCTTAGATGTGGCACAAGGCCGAAAGTATGGGACACCCAGTGAGGATCGAACTCACTACTCAGTCATAATTGTTCTAGCGGGACAAACTTGCTAACCATTACACCGCCCCGAGGTGCCCACCAACAGTTATTGATATGTCAGTTGAATAAACAATAATAATGATTTAGTCTTTTGTTTCTTACTAAAACAAGGATGATAATGTTATACATTTCACCATCTGAAACTGATTATCACTAATTATCTATGCAAATGCTCTGGACTTTACATTGGGATGTGTGGGTGGTGTATCAGATAGTGGCTCAAAATGAGAAGTTGAAGAGCTGAGTTTGAACTCCAATTGGGTTTGTTACATTCACTTATGTGCAAGTACTCTTGGGTAAGGTATCTCCTCTCCATCCATGGGCTAAATAGTAGGGTTTATATCTATAAAAATATGTTATTCTCAACAAATTGTTATTGTAATATTCACTTACAAAAAAAAAAACCCAAAAACAAAACAATTATTCTTACAGTCCAAAATATGTTTTGGCTTTAAATAACCCACAAAGGGTTGATAAGATGTAAAACAACAAATCCTTCAATTATATTTTAATGTAATCTGAGCAATTATATTTTATTAAATATTATATTATTTAATAGTTTTTTTTTTAAATAGAAAAAATGATTTATTTGAAACCTTTTTAGCTTTTTTAAAAGTTATTCTTTTTTTACTTTTCTTTTCAGGAGAGTGTGGAATTGAGTACTTTACAAGAGGTGAAGCTTCTAAAGTAAATTCTTTTTATTTGAGTTGAGATTTTCAACACGTGAACATTTTACCAAAGCTTTACTCTTTTATAATGTACATATATATTTGTAAAATAAAAACAAAATATTTCCTATATTAGCCAGATTTTTTTTTTTTTTTTACTAATGTCTGAAGAATTTTTTTTCTATTTTTAACTACAATTACACAATTATTTTATCTTTACAAATTCTGTGGTTGTTTCTGTTATACAGGGTAAAAGTTGGTAAGAATTTTCATTAAATATACAATAAAAATGTATCCTCGAATGCCATTTTTTTAAATTATTAAATTCATTTTTTATTAAATTTCTGCTCTTCTACATATTAATAGGTTCAGAATAAATTTCCACATAACACAAAAGAAATTTTACTTGCTGACTTAAGAGCAATGATTATAAATTTTCTTTATATATAGAGTTGTAAATAAAAATGTCATAAAATTTTAAATAAATATATAGACTTGATTATAAAATTATCAATGCTGGATTTTTTTTATCAAACTACAATTATTATTATTATTAATACATTCATTTTGTTTTTCTTAGAAACCTCTGAATCGATAAGCTTCCGGCTACGTTACATTGAAAAACCAGTCACCAAAATTAGGTAATGTCGAGCCTGGTCAGTACCTAGATGGGTGACAACTTGTAAATACCAGATGCTGTAATGGATAATGGCTTGGAATTGTTAATCAGAGAGCAGAGTTCAAATTCCCATTGAGTTCATTATATTCACTTATGCACAAATACTTTTGGGAAAGTTTTTCTCCCTCTAGCTATGGGTTAATTAGTAGGACTTGTAACTATTATCTCCAAAAAATATTCTTTCAATCCAAAAATATTTTCTGGCTTTAAATAATCTGCAATGGGTTGATAAGCTGTAAAAAAAAAAATGAATCACTCCATATGAATTCATCTCCCCTCCCCTACCAACAGCTATGAGTTTAGCTTCTTTTTTTTTCATCCCCAAGGAAGGCTATAATGTCACTAGGATGTAGGCACTTACATGGAGTGAAAGCGAATGAGAAGACTTTAGTGAGGAGAAGTGAGGAAAAGGTCAATAAAGGAACTGGATTCAGGAAGATAGATGATGGCAATTGACTTTGCATTTAAATTTTTGAAGATTGTAGGTGGCAGGGAAGCAAGAAATCGGTAGGGAATTCCACAAGCGAGAAGTGCAAGAAAAGAGACTATTGAAATAGAACAGAAGGTTGCATCTAGCTAGTTCAACAGTAAAACAGTGAGACCTAGTTGCCAATCTAGTAGCATGCTTAAATTCATGCAGTTGAGGCACCAAGAAGAAAATTATCAGAACAATTGCCATGAAAATATTTGTAGAAAAGACATGTGACATTGGTGAGAAAGTGACTGAAATTGAAATTCCAGGTCAGAATTGATTACATTACAGCTGTATAGAATGATTACTCTAACCTTGGTTGGGGGCCACCAAACTAAGAAACGGAAAACTCTGAATTCTAAACCATGAAGAAAGCAATGGGAAACTGCTCCACTATCTTTTCTCAGAAATTATAGCAATCCACAAATAATAGAGAAGGAATCTACAGAGAGCAATGATCGCCTACTTCCTGAAGGGATATAGCACTTAAAGAAAATAATATTGAATTTTTATAATTAATATGGTTTTTTGGTGGGAATTAATGAATTAATATGAGCTTTCAAGAAGTTAACCATCAATATTAATGTTTCTTTATAAAGAAAATAAATACTTTTATCTAATTTTCTTGAATTCAGTAAATGTATTGTTGAAGAGCAGCTTGCCAAGTTAGGAAATTTAAATATCAACAATGTATGCCAGCAGCATCATATCCAGCAGGGTTGGTGCATACTAGCCCCGAACCCACTGATCAGGGCAGTGAGCAAGTTTGATTGGTGGTCCCAGCTGTGCTTTGTAACCTTTGCTATCTTATCAACATTCACTTTTTTTCTACCTACATTTACATGCATTACAAATTAAACTAAGCACACCTGACTAAAGTATGAAAAATTTTCATGGATTTTGATGTCATTCTGTTTTGTTTTTTTTTTCCTGTTCAAATCCATGAATTTGTTTGCTCATGCAAAGTCTCAAAAAACACGCAATATAAAATTCACTATTTTTTATCCATAATGTTGAATGTGTTAAAATAATTCAACTTTTTAACAAGAAAAATCTCAACTTGATGTTAAAAATTGCTGCAAAATATTGTTGATTGAATGATCTATTATGACATCTCTAATTTGTATTTAGACACATTGTACTTTTCACTTTTCTAGTTAAATTGTTCATCTATATTGCATATGATCCATTATTGTACATAATTAAGTTACAATAAAATTTGTATTTTATATGAATACTACCTTATGAAATTGAGATATAGTAAAGTGAGGGCTTTGCATCATAGGCTAGCATGAGATCCTTGCATTGGTCCTGCTTCTCAGTATTAGAAGACAAATGTTGGCTTGTAAATGGTTTGTGGTAAAATTCTACAATCAATCTAAAGGAACCAATCTAAAAGAATATCTTTTTAAAAGCACAATATATTTGGAAGTAAATAACTATCTTGTAAAAATGTACAGAAACCATTAATGTGGATATAAATTTTAGAAGTAACTTTGAGTGCTGAGAAAAATAGTGTTTTAGTTTGGTATAATGCTTGCTAATTGATAAGACATTTTCTTTTTCAAAAATAGAATCCAAATATTCCACTGTATCCATTGCTTTTAAACTATGGATATAAAACTGACAATGAAAACTCTAGCTATACAGCTTGTATTGGGGTAGGATTAGTTAATCATTAATAGTTTAAAAACACTGCTTTGGCAAGATATGCACCTTAAAGGCCTGTAAGTAGAGTAACTCTTTTTAAACCATTGTGAACTGTACTAAGATAGATATATTGTATGTAGTACATAAAGCCATTGTAGGTTTTAGATGAATTCAATCATTTAAACTTTTGTATACAAGGTATAACTAAAATTGTGAATTCTAAAGTTAACATCTCTGATTTAAATTCTTTTTATTTAACTTCCTTTTTAAATTAATGTTTATTGACATAATGTAATTCTCTATTGAATGTGCAAGTGGTGTAATGGGTGTCAACTCGGAATGAGAAATCGAAGAGCTGAGATCAAATTCCAGTTCAGTTCATTATATTAACTTTTGGGCAAATACTGCCAAGAAAGATATGAATCTATCTCTTCTCCCCTCAGCTATGAATTAAATAGTAGGGTAGATTGGACTTTTCAGCTTTGGTTGGCAACCAGTCTAGGTGAAGGACAACTCTGAATTCAAAGCTTTGGTGAAGCACATAAGATGCAGCTAACCAAAGGCTCTATGATGGCTCTATGATCCCAACTGTGGTTGTTTAATCAATTCTCTGTGCCCTTAATATAACAAATCACTGAGGTAATATAATTTCAGCATAGGCAAATATAAAAAAAGAGCCCCCTGAAAGTTTGGCTTGAGTGGTAAAATAGATGTTTGGAGAGTGCTAGTTTAATTGGTAGAATGTCAAAAAATAGAATGAACAGAAGTTTCAAATTTAGGTTGCTCATCAGTTATTTTGTTTCATATCAAAGCTCTTAACCTGTTGAACTCTGGGACATGACTGCTTTCTGATCTGCTATTTCTGGAAATTTTGGAGTAAATTATACTTCCAAACTTCTGGCTCTACCAACATTGCCCTGGTCATTTAATTTGTTTCTGTCGTCCTCATTCTCACTGCTGTCATCAAACTTGTTGGTGTGCAAATTCAAGGTCACTCTCAAAGTAGTCTTCATTGTCTACCATTTCATTGTCACCAGATTCAAGTACTTTGAATACCATGTCTTCAGTACTCATTAACTTTACCCCTCTACTTTTCACTCCTGAACATGTGTTGATCATTATCTTGATCCATCTTTGTATAGATGCAAAAATGTTCTGAAATATTTGCAGAATTAGGTAATTTCAATTCCATGCTTCTGCTATTTATCTAGAGCTACTTGATAAAATCCAGCAATAAGAATAAGCAATATTATTGGCCCTGATCTGTGCTTTTTTTATAAATACTTTCATGGTAATTGTTTGGGATGAGCTTTTTGGCATGGTGCTTGGACTCTTTGAATTTAAGTGCAGTACTAGACAGGTGATAAGGTCTCAACAATTTACAGTTGAGCTGGCTAGATGTAGCCGTAAGTTCTATACTAACAGTTTCTCTTCTCGCACCTCTCACTTGTGGAACTCCCATCCAGTTCCATGCTTTCCAGCCAACTTTAATTTGCAAAAATGTAAATGCAATGTCAAACCACTATCCTCCTGATTACTCTTCCTCTGTTCTTGCTCCCTAGCAGTTGTTCCTCTTTCTAATTCTTCCACACCCAGTGACCCCTTGTGTCTCATTGGCTTTACTGCCTTGCTTGGGGTGAACTCAATCAAAAAAAAAAATGTTTACTTGATTTCTAAAGGTAGTGATGCATGGGCAGTTTAATGGTTAGCAGCTTGGAAAAAGGAATTGGCATGCCAAGTTCAAATTCCAGTCCAGTTTGTTTTATTAACTTTCAAGCAAATACCCTTGGGAAAGGTGTGAATCCAACTCTTCTCCCACCAGCTATGGGTTAAATAGTAAAGTAGATTAGACTCTTACAATGATTGGCAACTAGTCTAAGAAGAGGACAGCTCTGAATTCAAAACCAGTTGGTGATAGGGCTAGTAAGTCCATCTCATGAAAAATCTACCTGTTATGGAAATCACAGCAGCATCTATGGGGACAGCCTCAACGCACTAGGTGTTACTGCTGTGGCATCATACTCCACTGTTGGAGTGTGAGGAACTTGAGAAAGATAGAGATTCTTTAGGGTATAGAACTACTAATGTAAATATGAAGTGTTCAAATGTTGTAAGTCATAACACTAGTACTATAATGAAATAATGGAAAACTTGCTTTAAGTTCAACAAGTTTAAAAAAGACAGTCATTTGGTTCAGAGAACAAATATTTGTCAAATCTTTC